ATAGAAATATTGATATAGATAAGGGTACAGATATGCGAGTGTGATGTCCCATGTGACTTTGAAATCTGGTATCACCTAAACAAAATAGATGAATGTTTTCTCAGAGAATAGTGTGTCTTCTTAGTCCTTTATGGACAGGTACATAAAATCACTGAATTATCTTTGTTTCCAAGCCTATATCATATACCTACCTGTTTTTTATTAAAAATACACATTTAGCCAGCAGCACAAGTCTAACACCTACTGTTTAAAGAAGGTCGGGACTGGAAAGCCAACCTATGCTAACATTAGAAGATGTTAATCTTGCATGCGCAAACCAGATCCAGGCCGCTTCCAGGTACGTTGTAGAGGTGGGATTAATCTCACTTTTACCATCTGAGAGTTAGGCAGTGAATCTCAAATGGTCAAGTAGGCTCCTTAGCTGTATCAATAAGCAAAGGTGAAGCACTTCACAGCGTGATTCATGCAGACCTAAGATAGGTGTCTAAGAGAAAAGAGTCATACCTCCCTCAGAGCCTGCTCATCTCTGTGCTCTAGAGAGAGCGCAAGCGACTTGCTCGCAAGGTGGATCCCACCATAGCAAATGACATGTTATTTTTTCCACAAGATCACTGCCTTACTCATTGCTGACTAAATCTTACTCTTCCGTATATTCTCTTTTTATCCTTTCCCTGTAATATGTAGACCTCTGCATTGTTTTACTGTGTGCTATTGAATACAGCATAGAACGCAGAATTACTCGTTTTCAGTGGGGCTTTCTAAGGTGCTCGGGTATAGCATTTGTTAGCTCCTTACAAACACTGATTAATATCTTCTTTAAGATCTGTCATGAAAAGAGACAATATTATTATGACTTCTTTTTACAAAGGATGAATGAAAGCAGCAAGATTAGAGCTGCCGAAAGCTTCCGTGCACTTTGGGTGTGCACAGACTGATTTTTCAGTAATTACAGCACTATACATAATTTTGGAAGTGTGAGACACAGTTTGGCGTGACCTGGATTGCAGCTGTGAAAGCCTACTGACTTCTGCAAAACACACTTCGCCAGACCTTGTGTTTGCCGCTGTGAAAACAAAAAAACTTTTATTCCAGTTAACACTGTTAGTAGCAGCTTTATTCTGGGATATACACCACTCTGGAGTGCCTGGAACAATGCCACTTGAGTTTACGTGGTTGCCCCACAGTCTGTAAGGTGTCATTCGTCCAACTGAACGGGGAGAGCGTTGTTTCTGTCACTGCAGACCCATTTTAATCCAGGTTCTGCAATGTTGGTGCTGCAACAAAAGCAGCTGAGCCTTAGCAGACAGCAGCCTCCTCCACTGCACAGTCATAACCAACAGCACAGGCCGCTCTCTGCCCCACGTAAGATCGGGAGTCCTGAGGGGAAACTGCAGGAGTTTGTCATTAGGTCATTAAAAGAACTTGTGATAATAATCAGAAGGAGGCTAGAATAAGGTTTCACAAGCAAATTGAATTTACTTTTTCATTCTTCATTTTGCAAATGTAGGTTTCTTCTAAAAATTTTAAAATATTGTCATACAGTATTTTGAAAAAGTCAGCAACTGGGAGAGGAGAGGTGTCTCTCTGTGAAAGTTCTGCCTGGGTCGTCAACAGCACTGGGTACTTTATTTGGCAGGTCTCCAACAGCTAAGATCACATTGCAGGTAGTGGCAATACTGTCATCTCCTGGGCACTAGAGGGGGATGGATACACATACTTTGCTGATGGATTGCACAGCAGGAGAAACTGTTTCCATTGCTGGTTTCAATTCCAGAAGCTGAAGGAAGTGGTGACAAACTTTTCTCTTCTCCTTGGTTATTTTTGTTTTTTTCTTCTTCTTTTTTTTTTTTTTTTTTTTTTTTTGAGGGGGGGCAGGTATGGGGAATTTTCCGTTATCTTCCTCTTGCCTTCTGTTCATTTCTGTCTCTGTTTCTCCATTCCAATGTGTTATTTCCCTTGATTTCTAAAGCCTGTCTTGTGCTGTGCCTTTCCTCTTTCCAGAGAGAGCTCTTCCTTTTGCTCCTGGCCTCTGCTCACAATCCCTCACCTCTCCTGTTCCTGCCTGCCTCTTGTACCTTCACAGCCTCCACCTTCATGTGCAGCTTAATTAAGTTAGATACAGATTCTTACTCTGCCCTCAGCCAGACAGGAGTATCTCAGCCCCTTTGAACAGGATATCAAGCAAATGATTATTAGCATTCACGCTCTCTCTGTGATTTGGTCTGTGAGATGGGGAAAGTTTGGTTACATAGAGCTTTAGCTCAAAGTTGTTGAGTTTTTTAATTGCATATGTACTAAAGAAGATGTGCTTTGTTAAAGGCCTGTTGAAGGACTGAATCTTGAATTCAGAGCACAATGAGGTGAGGTCCACTAGACATTCTTTTCAGACAGCTGGTTACATATACACCCATCAGGCTAAAAGAGTAGGCAGCAAATATAGCATTGTCTTCCAGGAGAGCCAAGCCATGGGAACTCGCTGGCATTGTGCCCTCCAATTCAAACAAAGCTGAACTGAAGCCACTTTATACCTTGAAGATAAAGTCAAAGACCTTGAAGCAGATTTTGATAAGAAGTAAGCTGCAATTATAGACTGTTTGATGTGCTCTCAGTAGCCAGAAATTCAGGCTACTGAATCATGAATGCTGTCCTGGGTTCAGGTTGTTGGTGCCTCACTGAGCAGGCCTTTGGCTAACGAAGGTAGGCTGGACACTACACGGAAATTAGGTCTATTAATAAGCTGCTTCTGTCACCTTCTCCTACTTTTTTTGATCTCCCTTTTTGCTCCTTTCTCTAACCACCCATGAATATTTCTCATTTCACGTTTTCTGTACTTGTTACCTCTATGCAAAATTCCTCACTGTCCCCACTGAGCTGAGGGTGTTTCTTCCCCCCTCTGCTCTCTTCACACCAGCAGTGAGAGCACTGAGATCGAAGCAGGGATCTTCTTCCCATTCTCACTGCAGAAGCTGCTGCGTGTGCAAGGCCAGCTGGGTCTGCTTCTGCAGCCGTGGCTGCACTGCACTGTCACCTGTGCAAGTGGAGCGTTTGACGTAGCCATAAGGTAGAAGCTGTTAGGACTTGGGAGATGTTTGAGAGAGAGAAACTCACACGTCTGCTATCATATGATATTGTCAGTACCAGTTTTTGGATGTATACCGCTTGAGTGAATTTTAAAAAGAACAGTCAAAAAGCACGTCTCTGGAACTAATGTTTCCATTCACTAACACAAACAACTAACCATGAAATACTCTGTTAGCGCACACCGCTTGATCTGTGGCAGTACTATTGAGCCATTTTAACAAAAAGCTACTGAAAACTGCTAGCCTGAAGGCTTTCCATGGAAAACATAAGACCAAAAAGCTTAATTTCTTAAAGGTTTGGTTATCTTGTAACATCGGAAGGTGGGTTGTGTTTACTGTAGAGGTCGTTACTTCCATGACCACTAGTACCCAAGGGCTTAGTTGGTGTGTGCTGTTTGGGGTTTGCTTTTTTCCCCTTATTTTTACAATTTATTCCTCAGTTACGAAAGTGGAGGGAAAATGTGTAGTACATAGCCAAAACTGGTAGGTAGTAATCTCTTCTTATTTAAATTTATTTTTTCCTTGACTGGCTTTCTTTTTAAGTTGTTTGAACATCCATCTCTGTATGTAAATCTGTGTTGATATGTGCGTGTATATATATGTAAGTTATGATTTTAGCTTGACTTTCTAAGGAAGCTGTCAAACTCTTTGTCCTCCTGTCTGTCTACCTGCCTGTCAGTCCCCATTTGGTGAATCTGAGCCCCTTTGCCAAACAAAACTAAATTGGACCCTCTACCAAAAAAAAACCAGAAATTAATTCCTCAAAGTTTCATGGAAACCACTGGGAGAAGAATAGAACAGGAAAGAGATAAAAATAGTTTCCCCCACTGCAGCTCAAGTATAAGCTCAATGATTTTTTTTATCCTGACAGATGACCAGTCAGCACACACATAGCTTGGGGCCAACCCCAACACAGGCTGCCTCTTCTCCAGCCAGAGAGATAGGAGAGAGTGAGATGTTGTGGGGCATGCCATAACACACTGGGAGATGGAGACGTGGAACTCTTGCAGTGAGAGGTGGAGGAACAGACTGTACACATCTGTAGGAAACCATTTCAGCATTTCTGCTGTCCAAGGAACATCTGCCATCTGTTTGTGTGAGGGCAATTATAAAAGGGTGCAGGGAGGGCTAAAGGGCAATGGTCTTAAATATGTAGGAAACTGGGCTACATTAGTTCTACTGCTTATGGCATAATACAGTAGCTTTAAGCCTTTGCTATTCCCATCCTGGGAACAATCCTGACCAATGGCTTTTGTCTAGCCAACATATTTTTGAACCATAATGTTCCATTTCTCAGTCAGGGAAAGACTTTGTGAATATTGGGAGAGGGATTTAATGCCCACAGTTTACTGCAAGACATAGACAAGGAACCTATAAGAAAGCAGTTACTGATGGGGAACTTCATCAAGCAATTACAGCCAAGGACTACAGTTCTTAGTGGAACAGAAAAGGGGTTGGGAACAGGGAATGACATCCCAGGAAAAGGAAGAATTTATATTGCTTTTACCATTGATCAGTATTTTATGTATCTATTTATCTTCAACTGGTGATGCACTGAATAAAATTTACCACTGCCCCTTTTCCTGAAACCAAAAGCTTCTGGAAAACCAAAAGCATATAGTATAGTTTTAAACATTCTCCCTAGAAATAATACAGTTGAACCTAGCACAACTGGAAAGTATGCTGGTGCTCCTAGACAGTCTTTAAATGTTAGACTAAAGGTTTTTGAAAGCACACAGGATCATTAAATACTTAGATTTCTCTGCTTTTAATTCTAAAATGTTACAAAATTACTTCATCATAGAAAAAATATATACGGCTTAAAAATATGCATCAATGATTTGTTTGAAATGTGTTTGGCTCATAAAATCCTCTCATCTCTTCAAAAATAGGTATTTGAGAGCATAGATGTCATCTGTTTCAAAGCCAGTCTGGCTTGATGTATAGTGTTTCTAGAAGTAATACATGGTGGAGAGGGGTGGCCTCTCCTAGGACGGACCTGAAGAAGAGCTGTTCGATAGAGGTTGCATCGATATCTCGGAGAGAGGCAATTAGCTGAAGAAACCAAGCAAACCTGCCTTGGTTTCTATGGAACATCACTGAGATAAACTCCATCAAGGCTTGCTGAGCTTCCTGCTGCGGTGTTTGTACATAGGGGAGACATTTTAGAACATGGCATCCTGTCAAAACAAAAAGTAAAATAATAAATCTTGAGTAAACACTGTCATTCTGTGCTCTTCATTATGATGGGTGTCTGGCTTCCTAGCTTACAGTACAACTTTCTCTAGAAAACAACAAAAACTAGCATACTTTTTGGAAAAAGAAGATCTGAATAATTCAATAATTTGAAGGGACATTGAGCAGCACTGTAAGCACATTGGAATCTAGCCCATTACATTAAATCCAGCTTTGAAATGGTAACAGGAGGTAACTTTGACTCAGTACAGATGGAGAAGAAGCTTTATAGTGTTGTCAACCCACCAAATGATGCTGAGACCATAGTCTGAGCAGATGGAGACACTCCAGCTCTAATCTAAAATAGGTAGGTAACATCTGGAAGATGGAGGTGGCGGTTTGGAGCAGCGAGCAGGCTGGCAGTCTGAAGACATGGGTTTCCAGTCTGTGCAGCCCCACCTCCCTCCTATTGTTGCTTCTGCTTGCTAGACTGAGCTGGGGCACTATGGTGCACCATGCTATCTAGATATCTTCATTTACAGTCTAAAAAGAGCATAAAGGTTCTCTGTGAGATGTATCATGACTCACAGGAGTAGGATAGATAATTGTATTTCCTGATTTTGTACTCTCTTTCCTCAGCTATTTCTGAGGAGGGAGAGACCTCTGCCCTATAGTCTTGAGCCTCAATCACATACTTCCCATAGCACATGACTTCAAACCTGCTGGCTTACTGAGGGTCTTCGTGGATGCCAGGGCTCAGTTCAGAGGACGCTCCGTGTTTATCCTTTGCCTCTGGTGAGATTGCCTTGTGTAGCTCTCAGCTACCTGTTGCCTCCTGTCCTCACCACCTGAGGATAACACCATCTTTTCTTTCCTAAAATTGCTGCAGCCTGGACAGGGGTAGGATGATTCCCCAAGTTTTGACTTCTGTCTCTTCTGCCTCTCCTTCCTCCGACGTCCTATTTCTAAGATGCTAAATGGACCTGGAGTGTGTGCTGGGAGATCTCATTTAGCATGTTTTGCAGTGACTGACTCCATACCTCTCTGGGATGAGATCTGAATAACTTAGTCCAGGGAGTGTTTCACACAGGATCATTTGTTTAAGCGTGGGAGGCTCTGCCTTCTTACCTAGGGCCCCGTACTAGGGCAAAACCAACATGCTCGGGTTTCTTTCAGTCTGTGGCTGGCTGCCCTTTGTCAGTCTTCAGCAGTTCTCCCTAGACGTCACTGCCAGAGAAGAAACCTCAGCAAAGCCTGCGACCAGGTTAGCCAGAAATGAAGGGTTTAGAAGAGTCATCTTTACCACCAGCTGCAAACTGCGAGGGTGATTCCAAGTGTTAGATTTTTCATGGAAAGGAAACTGTCAGAATTTTGTATATTCAGGATGAAATTTCAATTGCTTATATCCCTTCAATTTGCTCAATTTCCCCATTTGGTTCCCTTTTATATGTAATCAAACACTGGTTTTAATTTACAAATAATGAGAAACTTCTTATTCTGAGATCTATTGTAATAATATTTAGTTAAACAGATGTTTCCAGCCGAACTGTAAATCTCTTACGAGCATCTTTTTTAAGAGAAGCCCTGTCACAGCCTTAATGGAGTTATATATATGTAACTCCATAAATACATGTAAATGTGATACAGATACAATAACAGCGCTGTTTTTCATGATTCCCATCCCTTTGCTGCACAGTTCCCATTGCTCTTTAGACAACTGTCAAAAGCATCATGAGCAGTTTCACCTTGCTCTGTGCTGTTCATGCATGGTGGGACAGTCCTACCTGCTCCTTCCTTGGACTTATTACCTGAGTCCTAGAGAAGGCCTTGCAGCTGGGCCCTTCACCCATACACACTTCGATGTCTCCAAAGCCACCTCGCCAAAGCACCCCTGTGAAGAGCAGGGATGGCAATATGTTCTGGAGCGTCTGGATTCAGTTGAAGCAAGGCTGCCTGTTGTCCCTCAGGGCTTGGGCGCAAGCTTTCTCCTTCTCAGGTTCTTGCTGGCCCAGATGTGGTCAATCAGTGACCCGCCCAGATGCGATCAGCCAGTAATCCAGCTGGAGCCTCCTGCACAGAAGTACTGTGCAGACTGTGCTTTAGTGGGACGACCTACACGCCAAGCTGCCTACCACCCTGTTCACAAAGGGGTTATTTTTATGATAGTAAACACAATCTCTATGCCACAAGAGATCACTTAAGGCACAAGCAAAGCTCTGTCATTCTTGTTTTGTCATGCTTCTTGCCCAAGCGCTGGCCCAGTTGTGCTGCTACAGCTGCATTTGTGGGCACCCTGTGGAACTCCAGCTCGTAACCCAGCTCTGGACTGCTCCATACCTGGTCCTTCCTCTTTGCCTCAGCCAGTTTTGGTGGTCCTAACAGGAATAAACCATCCAGGGTGGGAGTCCACACAAGGTACTCCGTGATCCAGGAGAGGGTTTAACATTGTCACTGCTGGTGGCTGTCTGAAATCCTCTTAGAACTGAGGCCTGCAAAATATTAAGATTTGGCCAAACATCAAGCTGAAACTAAAAGGGCAGCTGAAAATGTGCTGCATGTATGAAGAAAACATTTTCTGAGTTTGGTGGAAAGTATTCAAAAACTATTGAAGGTAGTAACTGTGAAATGACAGCTGTACAGATTTGTTTGCAGCAGAACAGGTAGAGAAAGGGCGACTTGGTCTGTGTATAAGCCTCGAGTACCTATTTCAGCCTAGTTAGACTGTGACAGTTTGTTTCATCCGGAGTCAGTCTAGGCTTAACTGAAGTCCTCCCAGGCACCTTCTGCAGCCCATGGAGAAAGGTACCTCCAGAGAATATGGTCATCCCACCTAAGAACTAGGGAGTCGCCCTGAAACTCCAGATCATGTATGCAGACAGCAAGAAGGGTGGCTGGGCCTCTCATGCTCACCCCGAGGAAGCAGCAGGAGTTAGAAGGCACGAATCCAGAACATAACACTTCTGCTGCTGCTTTCTCCTTAATTGCATTTCATCCAGAGAGATAATAAAAATGCCTGCTAGTTAAACTGTGTAAGCCGCTGCAGATTAGGGCTTTCTTCTCTTACCATCATCCTGGATATAACCAGTGGTTTATTTCAGCCTGATTTTATTGTGAAAAACTGAGAAAATAACTTGCACTGAAACGAACTCCACTGGGTTGATGCTGCAGCATAGACACACAAGATAATACTAAACATCTGGATGGCATTACATCTCAAGAATCAGAATTTGAATCCTATTGGAAACATATAAAAAGTCACTACAGCCTTTGAGCAGCCTATAAACCATTCACCACAAGACATATCATGGAATAACCGAAGCATTCAAGCATCCTTTTGGTACAGTCCCAAGTATAGCACACTGCTGACAGACAGTGCAGCCAACAGCAGTGATTGCTGTGGAAGGAGTCAAGAATCTCAGCCAGAGCAGACTGGAGTTGATAAGTCTTTCCATTTACTTTAGTGGATTTAGAGCTCAGCTTTTAATGACTCATGCACCCTGTGGTGCTGACCTAGTCAACCTTCCTTCCTAAAGAGGCTGAACTTGGCACCAGAAGGGAGAGGATGCAATCACTACTCTGAGTTTGCTCGTGACTGCTGGCCCAGGCTTTGAATGTAGAAATACTAAAGGATAAACACATATTTAAAAAGCTGTGTAACCTCTACACAGTATCTTTTTGCCTCATTGATGAAAATCAGATGATATAGATTATTTTATCCTCTCCAGTGTTCTTGCTACAGAGGAAGTATTTGTTAAGATACTTCTAATACCCACATCATGTACCCATGTACCATCTCTCCTTTGCTGTACTATGGCTGAGGCTGCTGTATTACCTCTGAACTGGAAATCAGTTTGAAGTGACACAGTTAATTCTTAAAATTCTTAAAGACTTAAAATTTGTCTAATAGAAGCTGGTTTGGCTTACAGTGGGTGACCTGCTTCACACATCCAAGGAACCTAAATAAACTGCTTCAGGCAGAATATCATTAAAATGTGGAATATAGACTTTTGAGAACATTAGTGATATTCGTAGAAAAGACTAAAACTAAACATTTGTCTGTACACAAATGAAAATGCCAAATGTCCTTCTAGGTACCTAATCATCTGTGTAATTTCCAGGACTTACCAGAATTAAAAAGAATAATCCCTTTAAGATAGGCATATTCTTTCGCACTTATGTCCAGGTCCCAGAATTTCCATAATAAATTCTTCATCTTCTGAACTTCTGCTAAAGATGTTCCCAGTGACGAGCTGCCCAGTTCATTGCTACCTGTCAAAGACTGATTGAGGAGGATTCTTTTCAATAAACTAGGGGCAGAAATCTCTCTCAGGTCAAAACCCACCCCTTCTTGTGCCATGCCCAGGACAAAAAGAGGTGCCCAGTTTTGTTGTATGAGGACAAGCTGATCCTCCCAAGGCACGTGGTAGAAAGAAGGCAAGTTTCTAATAAAAGCTGAAGTCTTCAAGAGCACTTCAAAAGCTCTCCTGCACGTGGCTTTTGGTGTTTTCAGGACAACTCTTCTGCTTGTACAAGAGCAGCCCTTGCTTCCCGTGGAGGGCTGGGGACTGCGATGCCGCTGGTGACACTTGGTCTCACTTCCGTGCTCTTTGTTAAGGCTCTGGTACAGGATGCTCTTAGCACGGTGTGTCTCCTCACACTGACATTTCCCAAATTTCTCGTCTGGGATCTCAGTAGCCACAGGGCTCCCTGTGGCAGGAAACGGTGCGCGTGGAGTTACGCGTCAACAGCGGGGCAGAGCGTTCCTGCCACACAGCAAGGCGTTGCGTGCTTTTTATATACGCGGGAAGTTGAAAAGCGATACGACCCTGACCTGTAAAGTCACCTTGAACTTTATTTGCCCCAGCCTGTTTCGAGCGAGGCGGGGCTGCGGGGCTGCTGCAGCCCCCGGGGGAGCGGGAGGGCTGGGGCCCGCCGGCAGCGCGGGTGCTGCTCAGCACCGTGCCCCGGAGCAGCCAGGCCCTGCCCGGCCGCCTGCCACCGTGCCGCTGGCTCCGTGCTGCTTTTGCAAAGGCCCAGATATCTAGAACGTGTACAGCCGGCCCCTGAGGGCAGGCCCGGTGGAAACTGTGACGCCGTAAGCGAAGAAGAAACAAGTTGTCTGTGTTTTTATTGACCTTGCCCACTAGCTAATGCTCCGGAGTGCGCAGAAATACATTTATACTTATGAATGATGCTGTGGTAGCACTCCCTTGAGAAGACACTTTAATTCTTGTTAAAGGAGCCACCTAAAGATTCTGTGGTTGTCTTTACTTTTCACAGAGCACATAACAATGTTCGTATTTTACACTGTAGCTAATAGGATATGACATCTATGTCAAAGAGGTGAAAGTCTTGGGGATTGAAACTCCATATATAGGAACTATTTCACATTCCTGGGAGATTTGAGAGAAACTTCAGAGAAAGTCAGCTGCTATAGCTCAAGACAATGTTATCTCCTGCATTTCGTATATGATACTTTCAAACACAGAATATGTGGACTTCCAGACTTGCTTAAATAGTCTTCATATAAGCTGCGGAAATAAAACTGATGAAGAAAGAGGGCAAAATGTCAATTCATATTGTTATATGCGTGAACTTTTGCAGCAGAGCAAGAGCTGAATGATACTTGTCAGGACTCCTCAGTCAACATCGGGGAATATTTAGTAGCAGGAATGCAAGGAACTCAGACTCCATAAGAAGAAATTGATACTTCAACTTTTGTTACTTTGCACTCTCTTGCTTGCTTTTATATAGGGTAAGAGGTACAAAGTTTTTTTACCAAGCATAATGTTTATGCATTCCTCCCATCTGGGCTCTTGGCATGTCTTCACAATAACTGAGCATTAAAAACAACAGCTCCAAGAGCTACTTCTGTTAGATGTCCTAGCCTTAGGTATGTAAAGGCCATCCCATCAGATACATAGCTGCAAATTTGTCCTTTGCTACAACTGTGTGTTTTTTCCACACTGGGACTTTTTAAAATTTCTATTTATTTACCTCTCCAGGATATTTATGTTGCAAAATTTTCTCCTTCTGAGGAGATAAAAAGTGGAGGAAGAGATGACTGCTCCAAAGTTAGGCAATCTAGAGGTGTAGTGCTGCTGAGGTGCAGCTACCACTAACTGCAGTGAAGGACAAGGAGGCCCAGAGCACTGAACACCTGGTGGCGTTTGCTTGTCCACCTCTCCGTCCACTCAACAGCCCTCTACTGTTGTTCATTGCTCGGGTATCAGAGAATCTTAGATTAAATGGCACAGCAACAGAGAAGTCCCCAGAAAGTCCCATTCTTCTTATTCTCACTATAGAATTCTAGCTGGGCTAAGGTTCATTGGAATGAGCTCCAGTTGCAGGGCTAATGCCACCTGAGGTTCTGCATGAATTACATAGATTGGCTAAGGGCTATACTAGAAAGAAAGACTGATCTTGCTAAAATCATTCTTACAGAGCGTTTGCTTGTGCAAAGAAGTTCTGTCTCCTAATTGCTGGTGAACATGGTGGTGTTTCAGTAATCTAGGTAGGAGAGTGAGCACTGATAAACCCAACTCCTCAACTCCAAGGGAAAAAAATCTATGACTTCAACTGAAATCAGGCCCATTTCACAGTTTGTCATCATTTCGCCCTCAGGGTTCATGTCATCATTTCACAGTTCCTATTAATTGTGCTTATTAAAATTCTACTCCAGATTAAATTGGTTCCTTTCCTACTTTTTTTTTTTTTTTCCTGAGATCTGCATCGATCATATGCAGAGTCCTGATGTCAGTAACAGATGGTATTGGATACCACTTCTATTTATCATAATTGATTTCCTTTGATTGTGTGCAGTTCTGAGAGGCAGAAGCAAATCATATTTTTTTAACAGAAATGCCTGGTATAATAGCTTTATGACTGTTTACCAAAAATACAGATTAAAGGTTACTGCCTCAGTATGACTGCTAAGGACACGTCATCAGATTTCTGAGACAATGATTACTTAGAATTATGAGTCAGTATTGAATTACAGGTGAAACTGATCCTGGTGGTCCTGATTCAAAACTGTCTGAAATGAGCTGTCTGTGTGATCTGATTTTCTCAAATGTAGAAGTCCGGCAGCTAAATTCAGCTCTATGCTCATAAATGAGACAGTAATTATTTTTTCTTTCTAAATCTTACCTATAGAATGGTGTTGAAGCCACGTGCACCTAGATATCAAGCATCTACAGTCTTCTTGCCACAGTAGCAATGCTTCTTACTTTCAAATGTTAAGAAAGTATACTATACAAAAAACAATTTTGTGATGTGAGAAATCCCCATGCACTTGTATCTATTTTAGCTGTTTCTAGCAGGATGGTTTGAGAACAGTAAGACACAGCCACATCATTGTTATTTTTGCTATTTTGCATTTATAGACTTTTTCAATCAACAAAGCACATACACCCACAAATACTCGCTGCCACCACATTCTCTCTGTGACCATCAGAATTGCTCCTCAGGTATGAGTGCTACATTTCAGACAACAACAAAAAAAAGTTTCCTAAGTCCACACACAAAATTGCTACAGACAGCTCATGGATATTCACACCACTGCTGGGAACTGTCTTGCTCTAAGCGAGGCTGCCATCTCCATCTCTCCCATGAGTAATGTTGTTTTGCATGCCTACTGTTACAGGTGATATATACTTAATATAGCTCCTCATCACTATTGTTAGATGATTCACACACGATACAACCTTTTTCCTAAAATCCCTGGATTTCTCAGACTTGCAAAAACTGCCTGCTAGGCATGAATGGTCCCTGGCTTCTACAGCAGGGTCAGTGTAATGAAGTCAGCAGGAGCTGAGGGATATTTGTTACTGTTACACATTCTTAAATATCCTATTGGGTCCAAAAGTATGAGGCATGTAGTATTTTTGGCTCTTAGCCCATAGCCTTAATTTGCCTGATAGAATACTTGGAAGGATGAAGAGACTTGTTAGATAAAATAGGAGCTTTAAGTGGCCTCTCACCGGTACCTTGGCAGTAGCCAAACACGAGTCCTTCAGGAAGAGTGTAAGATATACACCACTCTTTTCATGAGTACTTTTCTTGCCTTCAATCATTTGCACTTGGAGAATTCCTGAACCATAGTGATTCTATGCATTTAATAACTCAGTTTCTACCCTATGATCTCATGCACTCTGCTCCTGAAGCCACATGGACATCCACATCAGCCTATGTCAAGGAGCTCCGTGAATGCTGTACGTGAGACAAAACTTGATCAAACATGACGTTTGCTGGATTTGGTGCCTTCTTGCTCTTGTACTGCAGAAAAAAAAGGAATCAGTCAATCTCTATTCACCCTCTCTATAGGTAGCTTTATTTTATAAATTTTGCTAAGACTCTCACAGTCATCCTTTGTCCAAGCTAAAGAGATGTAGCTTCCAAAATCGTTCTTTCTTTAGAGTGGTACTATGACTTTGATCATCTTGTCTGATCATCTTTGATCATCTTTTTTGAACCTTTCTTAGCCCTATATCTTTTCTAAGATATTCTTTAAGGGGAAGTGGGGAAAGTATCAGAACAGGATGTGGTATCTAGGACTTAGAAAGCATGGTTTTATACCAGGACAGAATGAAGTTCCCTGTTTTGTCTTTCCCAGAAGTCACTCCTGAACACTGAGCTGTTGTTGCCATGGAACTGCCACAGCCCCAAGTTTTACTCCTGAGTGATAGTCATCAGTTCAGAGGCTCCCATCTTAGGAGTGGAGTCAGAAGTGTTTTACTTTGTGTGCATCTTTTGCCATATATATACATACACACACTGAATTATCATCTGACACCTAGTTGGTGATGTTCATAAAGCACCTCTGCAATTCTTCTGATAGCCCTAATCATCCTCTGAATAATTTTGTATCATAAGCAAGCATTCATATTCTCAAATTTTGAAGCCACTGCTCTTCAGAATAGTTCATTTAATGCTGTGAGTTGTTTAGAAGACTGTCATAATTTAACTAAGTGGCAGAAAATCTGACATCCTTGCAGTAGAGTGTCTAAATATACAAGTACACGTATGTTGGACTATACATATTGGTGCATAATGTACATAGTAACTAAGTTATTACCAAGCAGTGATGCAAGCTCTCCTACTTTCCTAGAAGCTGAGACTGGAGGCAGATGCAATTCTGGAGAAGAACAATCTTCTACTATTATTTCATATGGGTTACAAGAAGGAAATGCCTTCCTAGGAAGCTGACAGCAGCCTTTTTAAGGTCATCCTGTTACTCCAGTCTGATACATGCGCATATTCCTTGATTCAGTGATCTCTTATCTCTCTGGTCTCCCATACAAACATTTAATTGGCCTATAAACATATATATGACTTCAGAACTGCATTTTCTCTAGGAGTTTTATACATTTTGTCTTCTGGGGGGAGTTGGGTGAATCTTGTGTCACTGGTTCTTTTGAGGACACCTGACTTCACTAACAGCCTTAATGATGACAAAAGAACCCAATAATAAAAGCAATATCTTTCTAGAAGAGTTCCATCTCCTCCTTGTCCCATAGTGCACACCATCTTTCTTGAGCAATAAAGGTATTCATTTCTCAGCCAGAGGAACTGAGAGCTACTATTGAGACCACCTACTTTGGCTAGGCATATAGTAGCAAGTATCATCTCCAAGATAAAGCCTGCTCAGCTTTGAAACAAACTCTGAAACAGTGTCTTTAGCTTATTCTCTAACAGGTAATGCTATGGTAAACTAGG